CGGAACATCTCTAGGCCATAAAATAAGAGAGTAACCGCAATTAACAACGAAGAGGGTTTTGAGTCAAAAGCCGCTTCACTATGATAAAGCATATTGTAGTAGTCAGCGATCAGCTTCTCTACTGCTGAATCATCTTTTCTTCGCCAACAAAACCTTGCGTCCTCGCGCGTTACAATCTACCTCTCACGTTCTTGTTCGATGCGATGTGAAAGTTGCCCGCGATGTTCACCTCCCGCTTACGCTCGGGTTGCTGCCACGCGAATCTCGGTCATAGCCCAGCAGGAAGCTCGAAGGCCATCAGTATGCACCATTTCGCTGATTGACTGCAAGCGAAGAAGGACATACCTCAGGGTCCTGTGATCCCGAGTGCGGACACATGCAACGACAACTGGTCGGTGATTGCGAGTAACACATAATCGTATGCAGCCTCTTCTTACAGTAAACGCTGTCCAACCATATCTGACTTTCTCGACTTCTAATTAGGAAAATCTTGTGATGTATACTTCATCCTTTTTGACACTGATGCCTGCACGCACACATTCTTCTTCTACATCTTAGATATAGTTGAGTATTGATCGTAGACGTTTTTCCATCAGAGGTTCAGTGTACTGTGGCACCTGCTTCTAACCCTCTTAATACCATAAAACTCACCCAATTGACCGAAAGACTAATGGAGATGCACGGCTTTGTCAAACCACTGTTTGCTTTACTCTTAACTCCGCCAGTTCCTCCTCTGTTTCCTCTGTCACATCTGAAGGCTTAATTCGCGCAGCTTGCCCAGATTGCTTAGCATATAGCTCCTCTTTTACAGTAAATGGCCTCATCAACACGGGCACGATGAGGTTATATTCTCAGCATCCTTAGCCAAATTCCTCTCGTCCCAGGTCAAACGTCACCTGCTAATATCACACCAGTTTCGGTGCCAAAGCCCGTCATTGTATTTCTCCCTATTCCATTTCTAATCGCAGCAAACCGTTTAACCATTCCACTCGAATTTTAGTACTCCAATCTTACTGATGGCCCTAGCCCCAGTTGTACCTTCTATGTTTACGACACCCTGAGTAAGGGACGTTTCTTGATTGATATTGGCTTTCAACTGAATTTTATTCAACCTTCATCAGACGACCCTAGGCGCCTCAACGCCAGCCTCCCTCTTCAAGCCGTTAACACCTCGCAAATAACCTCTCTTTGGACATCGGCTTCCGGCGTCTTCTCCCTTGGATCTTCATTGTTGTCTAATATGCCCTGTAATATTATCGGTGCAGATTTCCTCACCATTTTCGATCTTACGTTTGAGTACCATCCCTCCCGTCTACAAGATCGGACCACCAATGTGACTATACCCGTAGCTCGGAGGTATCTCGCCAAATTGTCGCCCAGTAACTTGACCCTGATCGACCATTTTGGCAGCTTTTTGCCGTTCGGACTCCGCAACGTTCTCAAAACATTCCAGAGGTTTGTAGATAGAGTGCTTCACGACATTCCTCTTGAATGCGCCTACAGTGACGACGTATTGGTGGCCTGTTTCACCACCACCGACAACATGAATAATCTCGCAACCGTGTTTAACCGTTTTCAACAATTTGGCGTTGTCCACGATCTGCCCAAGTACGTCTAAGGCGTTCCTCCCTCGAGCTCCTTGGACATTTATTTGACACCAGCGACATTCACTCTCTCCCTTCGAAGGTTGTCGTCGTCCGTGAATTCACATCTCTCACTTCCAAGCGTCGTTAGCGAATTTTTGGTATGAGGAAATTATATGGCAGATTCCTCTCTATCTTTGCCAACACCATTCTGCCGTTCACGAACCTCCTCTCGGGTTCCAAAGGTTCAGTCGAGCTATCCACAGACCCCCTGGTAGCATTCGACAAGGACAAGGCTGCCGCAGCCGGTGCCAGCCTCCTGACGCACTCAGCTTCTGATATTACCATCTTTCTCAAGGCTGACGCAGTCGGCGTGGTTCTCCAGCAGCTGTTTGCAGGTCAGACCCAACTTTTATCTTTCTTCTCCAGAAAAATAAGACATGCGAATCGAGCTACAACACATTTGGAAGGGAGCTAATTGCTGCCTACCTTGCCGCGAAACACTTCCGGCAGAGACTTCAATTTGTTCTCTGATCACAAGCAAATTCCTGTGCATTGAAGTTAAAT